GTATAGGATTTCTGAGGAGCAACTGGTGAGTTTAAACCGCCAGTCTGTGGTTCAAACTGACTGCAGTCCTGTACTTAAGCCTATTATGCCACGCCAGAAGTATGAATCAAGGAAAATTGGAAGTTTTTTAAAAATGAAATGGAATGCATAAAGATTGATATTCATGCATTAGTGAGCAGAAATGGACTGGTATTGGCCATTTTGAATCTGGTAATCATATGCTTTACCATGCCGGGAACAACAAATTGTAGAGCAATGGTGTAGCATTCATCATCAAAAAGAATATTTCAAGATCTATCTTGAAGTATAGTACTGTCTGATAGGATAATATCCATACACCTACAAGGAAGACCAGTTAAACCACTATTATTCAAATGTATGCACCAACCACTAAAGCCAGGGATGATAAAATTGAAGAATTCTACCAACTATTTCAGTCTGAGATTGATCAAACATGCCATCAACATTTATTAATAATTACTGATGATTGGAATGCTAGTATTGGAAAAAAAGGAAGGATCAAAAGTTGGGAAATATGGTGATAGAAATTACACTGGAGATTGCATTGTACAATTTTGATGTAGTTGTTACAAATACCTTCTTAGACAGCATAAAAGATGACTGTACAGATGGATCTCACCAGATGAAATACACAGTAATCAAACTGACTACATCTGTGGAAGAGATGGTAGAAAAGCTCCATATCATCAGCCAAAACAAGGCCAGGAGCTTGTTTTAGAAGAGGCCATCAACTATTCATATGGCAAGTTCAGGCTGAAGCTGAAGGAAATTAAGATGAGTCCATAAGAACCAAAATATGATCTTGAACATATCTCACTGAATTTAGAGACCATCTCAAGAACAGAATTGATGCATTAGACATTTATGACCGAAGACCAGAAGAGTTGTGGGATGACATCAAGAACATCATATAGGAAGAAAACCAAAGGTCATTAAAAAGCAGGACAGAAAAAAATGGTTGCCAGAAGAAACTGTAATTTGCTCTGCAGTGTAGAAATGCTAAAGTGAATGACAAAAAATGAGAACGTAGGAAAGGTCAACAGGAAATTTCGAAGGGCAGCTTGAGAAGACAGTCAAATATTATAATAACCAGGAGTTAGAAAACCAGATGGGAAAACACACCCATCATTTCTCAAGCTGAAAGAACTGAAGAAAAAATTTAAGCCTTGACTTGCAATATTGAAGGATCCAAGGAGCTCTGGTAGCATAATGGTTATGAATCGGCCTGCTAACCTCAGGGTCAGCCATTCAAAACTACCAGCTGTTCTGCGGGAGAAAGTTGAAGCTTTCTGCTCCCGTAAAGATTTACAGCCTCAGAAACCCTGTACA